CCTTTTGACATCTTTTTTCATCAAATTGACTCCGAGCACTCTTAAATATTCATCATGAGGTCCAACACAACTTTGAAGTATTTGCACTTTAGTTCCCGAATTTTGGATCTCTTATAACTCAGCCATTTTCTCCAATTTTGTCCATATTTGTTTCTTCCATCAATTCCTTGTACTGTCATTGAATTTTACCTATTCAACATAAAATGTAATAATTTAGACTATAATTCATTCGAAAAGCAACTAAATATCATCGTTTTAACGCTTTGAATAAGTGTATAAAATACACTTATCACCCATCCCTAGTTTGGCTACTTCTTTGTTGTAGGAATTCGAAAACTTTTTTTCAAAGGACATGCCCAATGAATTACCACCTATTTGAAGCATTGAGTATCAAATTGACTTCGTACCTGGAGTTGTTATCCCTGACTAGTTTATCGGAGTAATCCCGATGAGACCAAAGAGCTTCAAAGGCAAGTGGAGTGCTACTTGTGCAAAAGAAAGATGAGACTTGGAGCATGTGAATAGGGGTGGGCAAAAATTGAACCAGCCAACAAAAACTAACCAATCCAAATCGAACCGACCGGTTTCACATCTTTTAACTAGAATATCAACTAGGATTTGGAAAAAAAAAATTCAATAAAGTGATGAAAAAATGATAAAAATTCGAAAAGTCACAAAACTCAAAAAATTAACAAATAATATTTAACACCAATCTAAATAGAATTAACTATTATTAAAAATAGGGCAATGCAGTACATGTCATCATGTTATCCAGCATATGGAGTAACGAGAAAATGTTGTTCAAGATTTTCTTCCCAGTTCCTCAACCAGACAATAAATGACGCGTGCAGATAGTGAATTCTCTTAATGTTTTGATCGAGAGTTAAGCCTTTATTTGGCAAATTTTAATCAATTAAAGACAAGTAATAGCATTATTATATTCAAATATATTAAAGACATGATAATGCAGTAGCGTCCCTTGTCACTTACTAATATTATCATGATAGAATATATAACCGGTTGATGGTGAGAATCTACATTAGTCAATATCAAATTATTTGTATATACTTTTCTCATAAAAGATCAAATATGTTCGGTCAATTGAACCAATCAATGACGGCTAAAAACAAGCAGGTTCGCATAGAAATCAGAACTGATTAAATATAGCAAATATACCACATAAAAGTAGGGATGACAAAAAAAAACCGTCATATCTGATACCCATGGAGCCTCATCTCGAACAAGGTGAGGATTACCCTCCTAATCAGGTACACAAGGGGGGACGTTGCCCCGACATGGGGGCAAAGTTGGACGAGTATGAAAAATATAGTCTCTATCTCATTCTTTGTCCCGTTTAAAATTCATTTCAATATGAGTTTTTAATCACACAAAAAGAAAAAAATCATCGTCATGACTAAACGAGTCTTTTATCACAAAAAATACCCATTGCCATCTCTACATGAAAGAACTATGTTCATTTGCAATTTTTTAGCCAGGAACAAAATATTTTACTGAACAAAGCAAGACCAAAACGAGATGATACACAAAACAAGATGAAAAAAGCATGCCAAAATAACATGAGTAAACTCTTTGATAATTAATAAAAGAAATAACACCAACAGTATATAAATGGAATCTAAAATTCAAATTTCTACTGCTGCAAAATGGCTTCTCAAATGTAATCTCTTCTTGGCAAAATATATCGGGAGCTTCATAACAGAAATTCACATAGAATTTTCTGAATTATATCAAACATACACTGGTCGTAACTAACATTAAATTGCTCTGATTTTTTGGAAAATAAGCCCAAAAAAGGTACAGTACACAAAAAATAAGCATTTCAAAATAAAAATCGAATAAATGCCATGAACAAATATAAAACAACGAAAATATAAATTAGCTTTAGGTAGGAACGGCAAATCGGATTGCCGGCTCAGGCCACGAGTGGAATCGGCCCGGAAAAAGCTTGAGGCAGCTCGACTTGAGACTTGGGCCAAGCCCCATTTGGAGGACTAGCCGAGCCCGTGTTCGCCCACGGGCCTAAAAAAAGAAAGTTCCCACACACTTGGCTGCCTTACTTATTAAAAAAAGGAGTAAAAAAAAGCAAGCCTGCCCAGCTCGACTAGAAAAGGCCTGAGTCCAAAGCTCGGATCGAGCCTAATTGTTGGGCCTGGAAAAAAGCTCGCTCAGTTTACCTGAGACGAACCCGAGCCTTGAGTTCGACTTGTTGACATCCCTAACCTTAGATTTATAAACTCTTCTTCTTTAAAGTTCGTTCAACAAAATTTTATTTCCTCTTCATCCCCTTCGATTCACTTTCTTCACCCATGTTCAAGTCTTTAATTAGTGGTGTTACATGAGTGGGGCTAATTGACGTGTGAATCGCCTCCTTCTTCGTACGGGTGAAGATACTGCTTCTTCACGTGATTAAGGTTTTACATTTTGTAAATGACGGGCTCTTTGATCTGTTTGGACAATTTTGGTTAGCCTTCTTCTTCGTGTGGATGAAGCGACTTTTTCTTTTTCGCGTGTCGGGTAAATATGGTTTTCACCTCCTGATTTATAGAACTCTTTGATGAGTTTGGCGATTTTGGAATTTTGTTAAACGTGCTAATTGTGATTATGAGAGGTTTTATTTTATTTTAATGTATTTATTTAATTCGTTGCTTTTTTAGAGTAATGCTATGTGATTCCACCGATATTGCAATTTCAGTATAAGTGATGCTAATATGACATTAAATAATAAGCACTTCTTTAGAATACTTAATTGAGTTTCCTCTAATTATAGGCCTAATATATTATCATGCTATTTTCATAAATTTCACTTAAACCATATTAAGCTCCCGTTCGAACCCATTTCCTCAAATTATAATTTTATTTTTCTTATTTTCTACCACATAATCTTTCATAAAATAATATTACACGTAAATTGAAAATTTTTCATTCTTTTTAAATCACAGATTTTTCAAAAAAATATTATTCCAAAAATTATAAATTAGACTAAGGGGAAATTTTATAAGTAAGAGTTCAACTATTACATATTTCAAAAGCAAGAAAATAAGTTTCAAATTTTAAAAATCAGATTTTTATTAAAATTTATTTATGATTTAAATAATTATTTATTTATTTTATTAATTAAATAAAGGAAAAATTTCATAAGTAAGAGTTCAACTATCACATATTTCAAAAGTAAGAAAATAAGTTTCAAACTTCAAAAATCAGTTTTTTATTAAAATTTATTTATGATTTAATTAATTAATTAAATATAGGTCACGGATCAATGCAATTTGGTCACAAATAACAATTTAATTAGTCACGTATTATTTTTTGGGTCACAAATCAAAAATTTTATATCACAAATTTTTTTACGATCATAATTCAAAAAATTTATAGATCACGGTTTGTTCATTGGTCACAAATGAAAATTTTAATTAGTCACAAATTAATTTTTAATCACAATTTATCAAATTATTGGTCACAATTTATTTATTGATCACAAATCAAAAAATTTATAGGTCATAGATTATTTTATGGTCACAATTCAAAACTTTTATAATCATAAACGATTCATTTATTAGTCACAAATCACAAATGTTATATGTTAAAACTTATTATACCGTCACAAATTATCAAATTATTGGTTACAAATTATCAATTTTTAGGTTATACATAGGGATGGCAATCGGGCTCGAGTCGCCCGTGACTCGGCTCGGGGCTCGGGGCTCGGTAGACCCGAGCCCCATTTTGGGGATACGAGCTTTGCTCCAGACCCGTGAGCTCGCGAGCTTTTTTAAGAGGAAAAATATATATATATATATATATATATATATTTGAGGCTGCCTTTTAAGGCAGCAGTTTAGAGGGGGAAAAAAGGAAGAAAACGAGCTTGTCTGGCTCGGCCTGGAAAAAGTCCAAGCAAAAGCTCGAGCCAATCCTATTTTTTTTGGCTGAGCTTTTGCTCAGCCCGGCTCGAGCCTGCAAAAAAGCTCGGCCATTTTAATCGGCCCGACTCGTTTACATCCCTAGTTATACATTATTACTTAATTACAATTTATATTTTTTATTGGTCACAATTGATCAAATAATTTGTGACCAACAATTGCGATCACAACCACCGACCCAACCACGACCATCGACAACACCGCCGACCACCACGACCAGATCCACCAGGCTAGGCAGCACCTCCACCTGCACCACCAACAAAAATCATCACAAACCTCCAACAATTCCCAGCACTAAGGCAACCTATCACCACTGTACCCAAATTGGAGAAAAAACCACCTCTGAAACCTCAAAATCATTCAACACCATCGCAAACAGAGGCAAACACCACCACAAACAGTCAAACACCACCACTTCAAAAGTACGCAAATAGAGGAACACCACTACAAACAGAGGCAAATAGCACACCTACTTTGACCACAGAGATGCAACATATTTTGAAAACCCCCACCACCACATTCACCCTAGATATCCACCACCACCACCTCATCTATATCACATATTGTTTATCAGTCACGTAAGTCGATTTCCACCACCACCACAATCATCTACATCACATCTGAATTGAAAACCCCTACCACCACATTCACCTTAGATATCCACCAAATTGTCAACTTCAATCGTCGGACCATCGTGCGTCGCTGCACCACCAGAACAACTATTCCACACTCTTCGCTTTGTCTGCCTTCTTTGCTTCAGATTGTGGTGCTGTGGTCGTCGATGTTGATAATTGCGACTGCGGCGGTCAGTGAGAGGGAACAGAGTGATGAGAGAGAGGAGATGTAAAAAGAGATGAGTTTGGGGAAAATGGGTTGGTTGGAGAGGGTAGGGTTGGTTTATTAATTAATTTAATTTAATAATATATTTATCTAATAATAATATATTGATTAATATAAAACAATCTGATTTTTGAATTGTTAAACTTGTTAAATGATTTTAGAATGTTAAAATTTTAAAATATGATTTTATATAATTTCCACTTAGAATAATGGGGACAATTGAGGCCTAAGACAACCTAGCTCAGTTAGATTTATTTTCGGCCCAACTTCTCCCAATCCCATCTAAAGCCCTTATAGAAATCGACCTGTGAAGATTGTATCCCTCTTTTTCCCTTTGCAAAAGCAAATTGTAGAGAGAGAAAAGACCACGATTTGGTAATTAGATTGATATGGCAACTGAAGCAGCAATAGAAGTTCCAGCGGCGGCGGTGGAGGAAGCGGCGGAGGTGGCTGAGAAGCAGCCGCACAGACTGGAGAGGAAGTGGACGTTCTGGTATGATAACCAATCAAAACAGAAACCGGGCGCCGCCTGGGGTAGCTCTCTTCGCAAAGTCTACACTTTCGACACTGTCGAAGAATTCTGGTGGTACGAATACATCCAGTTCTGTTTATACATATATTTAATATGCTTTTTTTATGGATTTAATTTATTGTTGATATCAATACTTTTTTTGAGCGTAGAATCCCGTTACTTTTTATGATCTTTATAGAGCTGTTTCAGTGTTCTCGTGTGATTATTGTTCATTTCTTTACTCGTGTTATCATCTCTATTTGTTTTTCCCTTGACTACCTGTAAATGAGCTTTTTCGCTTACTAAGGCCGTGTCTGGTTTGCCATCGGTGGAATCAAATTCAGATTACCTTGTCCTGGAATGAATCAGAATTCAAATACGGCCTTGTCATGTTTGCTTCCACTGGGAATAGGTATCAGAATTGGAAAGGGCATTTAAAAAATAATAATAATAATAAATAAAAAAATAAAATAAATAACCCTCTTTAAAGGTTATATTAAATTGAAAAATAGTTACGTTTTAGTTATTCATTCAAAAGGCCTTTTAGGTCAAATTTATATTAAAAAAATAAAAAATAGCCTTATATCTGTTCTTGAATTTTTCGCTATCCTTGAAGCTCTGTCCCATGGTTGAGTTTTTATGAGGAAAAAATGGGGGATACAGCACCAGAAATTTTGGGCTGTGAAGGCAACTTTTTCGCATTCTCTTTTCATGAAAGATGGAGCCAATAGAAGAAACAATTTAAAAGGAAGAAAGAAATTTTTGAATTATAATATTTTAATAGTGTTTGTAAGAAAAACTATGAAGAAGGGCCATTCTTCATTTTCTCTCTCCCAACAGGGCCTCTTTAGCAACTTTCCTCATTTGAAAAGTGTTTGTTTGGTTCAAATTGAAATCCGTATTTGTTAGACCACTAAATACAAAAAATGCATGTATGTTTTTGTCTTATTTTTTTGAATTAAATATAACAATTGGCAACTCCCCAATCCCCATTATAACTTTGGTAAAATACCCAAATATACTGCTTGATTCCTATCCAGGTTAACAGCCATCAAGTTCATTTCTCAGTCTAACCCAAACCTATTCATCTCTGTCCCACTTGACCTCAATTGATGCGCATTTTCAGAGATCAAGTTTGGAATTACCCAAGTTCCCAGCTTGGCTCTCTTGAGATCTACCCATCACAAGTCAAGAGTGTGCAATTGGGGTTGAGTTCAATTGTCTGTATGACTTGACTTTCGAATTCCTCTAATGTAGTTGTTCTCAGGCCTTTTGGCCCTTATAATGGTCTCTAGGAGCCATAAGTTCCAATTCCTTACATATTGCATCATATGACCTAAAGGGCACATGTCTTGACATATACGACCCTTTGTTCTTCATTGGTTATGAAGCTAATCTTTGCCACTTTTCGCTGAACCTATATGATGCAATTCTTCGCTACCAGGGGACACTTTGTCTGTTGGAAACATACTGCAACTCTTTAATTTTTTTCCGGTATATGATTTGCTGCGAAGAAATATATGTGGATTTTTTTTATATCTAAATCAATCAATGTAGAGTATTAGTTATGTTTGTTTGACCTTGTTTCGTCAAAAAAATATTAATTGATGCACGAATGGTTAACCTTCATGAACTAGATGTGGTACAGAATCGAAGTTTTTGTTTTGGTTTTTCGTGGACACCAATGATATATAGTAGAAGATTCATGCTCTAAGATATGATAATTTTATGTCAGTTGTCAGCCTACTACGACTCTCAAATTTATTCGGATATAAGAAATGCCATGAAGGAATATAAGTTGAGTTTTCTGATATCTAAATCAATTAATGTAGAGTGTTAGTTATGTTTGTTTGATCCTGTTTTGTGAAAAAAAAAATTATTACTGGAAGAAAGGTAACTTTTATTAAGTAGATATGGTACAAAATTGAAGTTCTTGGTTAGGTCTTTTGATTTGCACCCATTCTTCAGATATATGATGTAATTTAATTACAATTTTTTTTTATTTTTTATTTTTTTTATTTATTTTTTTTGGTGGGAAAGGTACTTCTTAAAACAATCTTGTTTCAAGAATCTCCCAACGCTTATGCCTTGAGGCGCACCTTAAGTGCCTCGAAGTTTACAGTAAAATCAAGGATTGTTGAAGAGAGCAACTGATATAGGTGTGCTTTAGCCTGTACAATTAAACTGTGATAAACCCTTCTACCATATGGAGTTGAGACTTTTGAGTTGCGTATGGCCTGTGATGGAGAAGTACGACACATCTTTTCATTTCACTTTCTTTCTTTTTTTCCCCATTTTCTTGTTGCATCTGTGCTTTTTGTTTCTTTTTTCGTTTTAAAATCAAAGCAAGAATATTTCTGGATTATCTGGTCAATGTTATTTTGAAAAATATTTTTTTTGCTATTTTGTTGATTAATTTTTAGATAGTTGATGGTTATTATGCATATAATTTTGCAGAGTTTTGAGTTATTTATTTTTTCAAGATGAGGCTTATGACTTAAAGCGCATTAATACTTATGCCTCATGTCACCTAGATGAAAATGCTTAATACCAAATTTAGCCTTTCAAAACATCATTAAAATCATAACTTCTATTGTTGTATATAGACGAGGGACTCATTTATTGATTCAAGTTCTAGATAATATTAATTATGACGACTTTGATTTATGCAATACAAGGTTTTTCCGTGTCTGCCCTGTAATCGTAACAAGGAACATACCTACCGTTTAAAAAAACTATTTGAGGCTTACCCTCAAATCCCGCCTCACTAGAGGCTTTCATAAAACTCCTTGAACCCAAAGTATACCCCTCCCTCCCCAATTTCTATTTGCAAGGCTTATGCCTCAATTTACAGCGGCTTACACTTCAACTTAGTGAGGCTCAAGGCTAAGCTTCTAGATGACTAAGTTTTTGCCCATTTCTCTTGCGTTTTCTAGACATTTTATTACTAGGCTTAGCTTTTTGGGCTATTTTATTTTATCTTATTTATTTTATGTATATTTGCTTGCTAAACTTTTTATTATGTTGTCTTGATTTACTATGGATTTTTAAAGACAGTGAATAATTTATTATGAGCATATTTTTGTACTTCCATATTCTTCTAAATTAGGCTTACTGCTCAAAGCACATTGAGGCTCAATTATGTCTCGCCTCACATAGGAAAAATGTCTCCTTTTTAAACATCTATGTACCTACACTAGTAAATGATATTAGTTTTTCATATCTGGCTTTAAGTATGTAAATAATTATGTGATCTCTAAATTTCTCTAACCATACTAGGCAGGTACAATAATTTGTGCAATAACCATTGTCTATTGCAATGGTTACATCTTTTATGACATCTATCACCATGCTTTTAAATGCTTATAATTAAAATTATGTCTAGAGTAGAAATGGCCCTTGACCTCTTATTTCTTACAACCGCTGATATAACAATTAATAATATTATTGTAGGATTCGAAGCTTTAACTTAGTTTTTTTAAATGCATATTCATATTTTTGATATTGAAATGATTTGAGATTAACATTTATATAGAAGATTTTAGACATAGTTGATTTTTTAGGTGGTTGAACTTACAGAAGTCCTAACATGTTCCAATAAAATATGAAATGATTTTAGATTAATATTTAGATAAAAAAATTTAGATAGGGTTGATTTTTTAGGTGGTTGAACTTAACAGAAGTCCTAACATGTTCCGAGGAAGATTATTTGTTGGTATGGTTAAATTATGATGGACAATGCATGCTTGAAAATTACAATAATACTGTTGCGCGATTAAGGCAAAAGAACATGCAATAATCTATATGTTCATAATAACAATGAGATTTGATGGTTGCCTGGAAAAAGAGCTGCACATTCAATGCTTGTTTGTCGTGTAGTCACAGCTGGGTGATATAAAATTAGACTCCCCTTGTGAGAAGTAGAAACCTTCTTCCTGTATCTTGTTATGCATTTTTCTCTGGCAGTGCAGCTTTGCCATTGTTCTTAGTTCCTTATATTTGGTTTTATCCTTTTCCATTGCACTCACCTAACCTGAAAAGTGCTGTCCTTTCTGCCCAAGTCTTCAGATTTCGCTTATCTTTTATATAAATTTAGCCATGTCCGGTAATTTAAACTATTATTCAATAATTGAAAATCTAATGGAAAGATGAGTCATGAAATTCTAATACCATGGTTCTGTCTGTGATCAGATTTTCTTTGATAGCACGAGCCTTATGTGTCAATATCTGTCTCGTGCTAGAAAACGGCATATCAGGGCAGTGGCAATCTGAGAGAAATCTTGTGTCATTTCAAAATGATACGAACTTCTGTTCAAATTCTTCACGATCAAGTGTTGCCCCCACTACCTTCCGGACTGCCTCACATCCTCAATACTCTAGGGCTTGGTACCATTCTGTTCTCCTACAAATTCTTGTCCATTTACGTCACAATACACCCAAAACCCCAAATTTCCACTCAAGGTTTTCCTTGCAGAATTCTGGACCACTTATTTCACTTTTTCAAGCCCAGGTTTGTTTTCTTCCCAGCAATCAAACTGCCCTACTCGTATAAGCCCGTGTGCATCTACGTCACAGCCTACCAAATTTCTAACTTCTGTTCACTTGTAAGAGCTAGTACAAATGCTTCACCATTTTTACTAGGTCCAAGGAGTCGGGGACTTTACCTGAGGACCAAACCTCTCAAAAAATCAACAAGGCAAAACATTTCACTTACTGTACCAGGCCACACATTCAGAAATTTTGTACAACCTATTGACAATAGGATAATGGTTGATCATGTCAACGGGGGTGGTGGTGACAACATTAACCCCAACAAGTTGGACTTGACCTTGAAGCTGTGAAAGCTCTGAACAATGTTGCTATACTTAATCCTTGTTCTTTATCAAGTATTGGTTCCTAGGCTTTGTCTAGAACTACATAAGAATAGGATTTTTCTATGTAATGCTTTGTTATTTACTTACTTTATGTAGTTTTCCTAAAGGTGAGTCTTGTAAGGGCTAGAAGGTCATTCTAGAATCTGTGACACCTTTACGAAGTTATGAATATAAATTTTGAGGATTTTCATCCTACTGCTAATGCATATGGTTGTTATTTCATCTTTACTTGTTGGCCGATTTTGCTATTTGTCTCATCTTGTATCCCTTATATCTGGCGCAGTTAATGATGTTTGCTCCAGGGCATTATCTTTTTAGTTGTAATATGTTTCTGTTGTCTACTTTATCAAATAAATTTCGACATCATTATGAACGAGTCCAAAGGTATGGAATCCTAGAATGAGGCTGGCCCAACTTAAATGAGATTATTAAACTCTACTCAATTCAAATTTGAAATTTAATATAATCTGGTGAATTTATTTATCTACTTTGCTAGAAATACTCATTTTGATTTTTATTTATTATTTTATGAATGTGCTCTAAATCTGTTAATAACTGCAAATATGTTCTCCTTTTTGTGGTGTTGTGGTTGATCACACATGTATTTTCGTTCTCTTCTCGAGATAGTTTCTATATTGTGAACTTCAATATGAATAATCTGATTTCAAATTAGTGAAGACACTGTCCATATGTTTATTTTATGTGGAATTAGCACTTCTTAATGGGATTAGAAATATTTCCATCTACTTAAATCAATTTTCCAATCAAAATTCTACTATTAGCTCTAAAATTGATATAGAACCAGCATCTTAAATTGGACTTTAGGAAAGGTTAGCAATGGTACGAAAATCCTTCATTTGAATATATACACTCCTTAAATTCACTTTTTAATAAGAAGTATTTCGCATAGTCATCTGCCTCAGCAAGTCCACCTACAAGCACTGGATCTTTTCCAGAATAAGTGAAAATAAATGGGTAAGTGGACTGATGCGCTCACTTGCTTCTCTTGGTATTCAACAAGGTTTACAAGATTTTAAATAGTATTAAAGAATAGGAAAAGGAGAAAATTAAAAGCGGTGTGTGAGATCTTTAGTTTTGATGATTAAACATGAAATCCAAGACGTTATTGCAGGGTAAATATCCTCTGCAATAGAACTGTTTTGCACTTTGTGAGTTAGGTATTTTCAAATTTACTACAAATGATAAATCGTGTGTACTGTACTGAACCCGAAGTGTGGAAGTATGGTGAACTTCCTTAGAATGTATGAAGCTGGTTTTATTTATGTTTTGAAATGGTGAATTTTCCTGCAGTTTATATGATCAGATATTTAGGCCAAGCAAGTTGCCAACAATAGCTGAGTTTCACTTGTTCAAAGCTGGAATGGAGCCCAAATGGGAAGATCCTGAGTGTGCTAACGGAGGCAAATGGACTGTTACTAGCAACAGAAAGGATAATCTTGAGAACATGTGGCTTGAAACTGTAAAAATAAATTCTTTCTTAACACTGTTGTTTACTGTTTAGCATTTTTTGTTGGGTTGATAGATATAAACCTTGATTTTTTTTTTTTGAAACTACTTAACTGGTTCATCTTTTCATATTTGACTGATAAATTTGTGTTCCTTAGTTGATGGCTCTAATAGGGGAACAATTTGATGAGGCTGAGGAGATCTGTGGAGTGGTCGCCAGTGTCCGCCAAAGGCAAGACAAACTTTCATTGTGGACTAAAAATGCAGCAAATGAAGCAGTGCAGGTATTTATTTGTCATTTTATTGTTATTCAGGTAATTATTTCTTAGCTTTTGATGGTGAAAGTAAATATGAGAAAATCCTACAAAGCCACTGGTGCAATTTACACCCCAAAATGAAATCGAGCAGTAAATAAGAAGCACATTAACACCAAAGAAAGAATCATTTAAGGGAACAAGATTTATGCGATTCATGGAATAAAGAACCTTGGATGTTACTTTTCGATTCAGCAGTAAAATGAGGAATATAAGTTACCGCAGTCAGCCCTTCGAGAGCTGTTCCTAAGCGCCATAAATTCTCATGCTAACAAAAAATAACAAAATGCCTTTTACACTTAAGTGGCTCATTTTCTTATCACAATCTACTAAACCATAAAATAAATGTAATTTGAAATTTAAGCAAACTACAAACTTGAGTCATGATTGTGGGAAATAAAATAATAGATCAGGTCAAGAAAATAAACCATAAGCATAGCATTTTTGTTTCATTTAGTTACTCCACTTTCATAGTCATTCTGTTGCCAAACTCGTCTCTTATGCCTTACGACAAGAACTTTTCATATTATTCTTCCAGCTCTGGATTACCTTGAGCTCTTCTCCAATCTATCGAGGTAGGCTTTAGCATGCATTTTTGCTAGGAAATCAACAATTTCAATCTCTATCCTCTTCTTTTAAATCAATTGTACGAACTAACCCATCTTCTGTTCCATATTGACATCATGGACTGGGTCATGTAAAGGATCTTCACTCTCTTCTTTGGTGTTGTCATCCTCTATACTACAGTGTCCAAAAGTACATGGTTGCATTTTCGAATTCCCAAATGGGCTTCCACTCATTCCTGTTGCCGGTGTTGCGCCCACTCTTAATCTTAAATCATTTTTGGTTTGTCAAGATCTCTATCTGCTGCACTTGATTTCAGTCCTTATTTGTTGTCCGTGACAACTCTCCCTAGGATGGTGAAAAGCCAACTGCTTGGTTCCAAATACTACTTTGATGATGCAGCAACGATGAGGATCAGAAAATCCTATTAAGCTGGTGCTGCAATTTACCCCAAGTAATCAGAAATTCGGCCGTTAATAAGCTGCAAAATAGTATCAGAAGGAATGATTCGACTGAACTTTAAGATCATATGTCAAACTGCCAAGGAATAAGGAGATCTGAAGCTACTTTAGATTCTGCTGCAAAATAAGCATAGTGCGCCCCATTGTACAAAAAAACTAAATTACCCTTTGCTTAAAGTTGCTCAACTATCACGTGACTTGCTTAACCGAGAAACTCGTGACCATTTAAACCTACTAAAGATCACCTTCTTATATCCAAAGATACAAACAGAACTTGTGACATGAGTGCTGAATGAAACAAAAGATTGACAAACTATTCTTGGGTCTTGCAACTTTTTGTGCATTTCCATATTGATATATAGTGTAAGTTGAATCAGGTAATTTTTTGTTGTCAGCGCAGGTATCAATGAACATCTTACCACCATTGATTGTTCTGCCATGCAAAGTTTTAATCTTTTCTTCTAGTTACCCACCCTGGTTGAAGGAGACCCAATAGAAGTATTTGTTCTGTTTGCATCTCTTGTAGAACGCCATGAAGATTGACAACAGAAGACTGATGAGCTGAAAACAAAAATAAATCTATGTGGGAGGGGAGATAGAGGATTTTCGTAAACTAAAAGGGAATTAGATATGGGTGTGGGTCGGGATGAGAAGACCTTCCAAGAAGCATTCTGCTGAAGGCATTACAAAATCACTAATAAGGAGGCAAAAATCATACAAAAGAAGTGAAATCAGGATGGATGACACAGCCATAAGACCAATATCGTATATAGGTTAAAGTATTAATGGTTAATCGCAGAAATAATGTTAGTGTTTAATTTTTAGGGGCCTATGTGCATTTCAATATTTGAACAGAGATTGAATTCCAATGTACTTTTTGCGCATAAGACCTCATTTAGTTATATATGATAAACTTGTTAGTTAACAATGTTTCATTGAAGCTGTACAAGTTCTACTAATATTTGGATAAGATAAAGTATGAGATTTGATGCTGCGTTGCGTGCCTCAGGAGGCAGTATCTTCCCCCTTCCTTATTTTTTGGCAAACCTCAAAGATGCCTTTTATACCTGTCCTTTAGTCATTCTTAAAACAATCCAGGCTAACATTTATTCTTATTGATGCCAACATCTGGCTCAGTGCACCAAAAGTTGGAGAACTGTGAGCTCTCCAATTTTGTCTGTTTATAGATTTTTATAGGGCTTGTTTTCGAGAGTGAAGCTTTTCCATATTATTTATCTGTTGCTTGATGCAATTGTTAAATTTCTAAATCCTCGAGTCTTTTACAGTCGCATGCCTGACACAGCTTATGATTGAATGTTAATTTGGTCTTCGCAGATGAGCATTGGGAGGAAGTGGAAGGAGATCCTTAATGTCACTGAAAAGATAACTTATAGCTTCCATGTAATTTCGTTTACCCTGGTGGTGTTTTTCTTTTCACAACAATGCACTCTTTCTTTCTTTATCATTTCACTGTTTATTGCAGGATGATTCCAAAAGGGATAGATCAACAGGTAAAGGTGGTCGATATAGTGTGTGAAGTTCCTGCCTTGTGCTGTTGCGCATTTCTCTTTTCAGCTTTATGAAAAACTAGTAAACCGAGTACTCTTCTACTGCATGTTAACCTCCAGTATTTTGCTTATTGAGTGTATCTGGAGAGGTATTGTATTTTTGATTGGTTTTATATAATGGTTAATCTTGAAGGAAATTTCTTCGTTGACTATTATTGAGTGCTATGTTGAATAAAATTCAACGATCAGCATGTATTTTATTGGGATCATAGGAGAGTTAGTTATAATCACTTAAGATCTACTAACCGTTGGATTTGATTAATCTAAATGTCATGATTATTTGTCAAAAATACTTATTAAATCCATGTGTAGGAGGAACGCTTTTCATATATATACACACTTTGAAAACTCATATTTTGAAGAAACTTAAAAAATAAATAAATAAATAAATAAAAATAAAATTCCAATTCCAATTCTTGGATTATGTAATCCGTTTGATCAAGGATTAATATGTTAGGGTATCCCTAATAGTCACTCTAAAAATAATAATAATAATAAATAAATAAATAAAAAGCTAAAACTATTCTCTATTTTAGATAATCAATTCTTAAAAAACAAGCTCCAAGAAATTTCCTATTTTAACTTTTTAAAATAAAGGATGTGTTTAGCTCCGCAAGCTTGACTCTTTATTCTTAATTAACAATGCTTACATTTAATAAGTTACAAATTTCATTCTACAATTTAAATTATTCAAATCACATTTGAATCGATTGGCCATTAACAAAAATTATGTTAAATAAGAGATGAGAATAAACCAATAAATGTTCATTCAAAAAAATGGTAAAATAAGGAGTCAAAATAGAGATATTTTTGAAGTGCATAAAAAAATTTATTCTCTAAATTTAAAGATAATTTCTATTGTGTGTAAAATGTTCTTTGCAAATAGATAGTTTCTCAAAAATTCTCTTTACAAACAAAAAGTACTAACTCTAATCTAAAAAAACTCACCACCATAAAGCAAATAAAATCTTAGTTCAAATATAAAGATACGTGGCTCCTCAAATTTTTTCTTTAAATAATAGACAAACTCCAAATTTTCTTTTAAATAATTCTAAATAACCAATTATTCTGTTTTGGCTACTTTTATCTATTTTTATTTTGAAACAAATAGACACAACAATTTTGGTATTGGAAAATTTCATAAATAAATCCTTCATTTGTGACAATCTTGATATTATAATTTTAATAAATAATTTTAAAATTAAAATGTTGATTATAACCAAAATTGCATCCTTTCATTATCAATAAATTCTTAAAATAAGCAATAAAAAACTAGGTTAATCCCATTTTCTTGAAAAAATAATTAGTGACGTGGAGACGTGAGCTTTTACAAAATTATAAAAATCAATAATACAATATCTTAACTTTAATAGTAAATTAGACTAAAAAAATTAGTAATTGGAATTTAAAAATAAGAGCCAATATTTAGGTAGTAAAACAAGGACCATTTATCAAATTTAAAACTATTGTAACATATTAGTCTGTTTGAAGGAGATTAAAATCAGATTTTTAGTAAATTTTGATAGAAGCCGATGAAATGTGTGATTAAAAAGTTGTGAATCCCATGAAATATGTAATTAAAATTAATTGATAACTTTGACGTAAAATTTTAATTTAAACAAAAAGGGACTTAATTATAATTATAAGAGATATTTTAAAATTTTAAATCCCGTTTCTACTTGGAAGTTGAACGAGCTCTACAATAATTAATATTACTATAGAAAGTTTATTTTTACTGATTATAAATATATTACTTCAAATATGCAAAATTTTGATGACATATTTAATACACTAAATTACTCGATAAAAATGAACAAGTGAAAACTTTCTAGAACCTGTTTGGGAGTGATTTTGATAATTGAATTTTTGACCGTTAAGAGAAAAGTGGGATCCACCTGTGAGAGAAGAAGTCAAATATAACGGTTGGAATAGTAAAATAACGATCAAAAAATCAATTTTTTTGGTGAAAAAATTGGGCCCAAACAGGCCCCTAATTTTTTCGATTTTGTTTATTTATATTTAATTTATCGTACTAAACATCAACGACTGTCGATAAAACGTCGAAGCAAAGAACATGAAAGGTTGTGACCGAATTACCTGTGAGTGTAAAGCAATAGCTTTGCCTCTCAGCTGGTTGAATGTCTTCTTCCCTATAACATTACGCGTGACAACAACAATTGGAGCAAAAAGACCCTTCCCTTCATTCACATTCTTCATCATCGGCCTCGATCGCACAGGATGCGCCATCCGAACCTGTGTTGGAACCGCCCTGGCGAGGGCGGCGTAGTCTTCACCTGCCATGAATGAAGAAGAAGAAAGGCCTAGACCATCTTTGAATCCAGTAGCATATACTGTAGCAGCCATTACAAGAAAATACTTGCAAGGGCCCTTTAGTTTTTTCTTTTCTTGGAGAGAAAATCTTGATAGTATTTTGTGTTGTGAGGAAGGGTTATTCGTTTGGTGCAATTTATAGCCTCTGGGGACGAATATTGGGAGCCACAGAAGAAGAAGTTTCTGATTTTTCTCATAACCTAAATTTTAGTTGAATCTTGAAAGTGCATCTTCCCTTATAGACCCTAGAAATTTGAAGAGATAATAGGGGATCTGTATCTGCTATATAACTGGTTCTTTTCTTGGATGGGACCCTTTAAGGAATCAATGCATGTCTTTGATTCAACAGCTAATCCTCACCATTTATGGTTTTTGTGACATCTAATTGAAAGGGTCAAGAATCAATGGCCCAAGGTGGCTCAAATCAGATGCAAAATTCTGACAAATCTTGATAAATGTTTTAGTTTATTTTGATAAAAGTCGGTAAAATGTGTATTTGAAAAGTTAATAAAAATTGTAGGTTCTATGAAATGTTTGATTAATATTAATTATTGATTTTGACCTCACTTTCTAGTAGCTTTTAAGTTATCCAAAAAAAGAAAAAAGAAAAAAAAACACTTAATAGAAAATTCTTATCATTATTAAAAAAAAAAAAAAGTCGGATTTACATATTGAACTCGAAAAGGGTTAATCGTTCAAAGACTAGAACCGGACTTTCATCAATTTAAAATAAAAAATTATTACTTGTGGTGCCTAATGAGCTCAATAAAACATAGCATGATACATGACAAGAAATTTCAATTTTTTTATTTTTATTTTTTGCCCCTCGGGGTATAGCCCAGTGGCGTAAAGGACAGGAATGAAATTATCTCACGTCTTGCTAGCCATCGTAGTGTGGGGGTTCGATTCCTGAGACATGTAATTGGACTCCTTGTAGACGCAGTGTACAGACAACTCTTGTTCGTTGGTCTGTTGGAGCACATCCCACGATTTACCTCCCTCATAAAGCTCTAGGAACGGGGTGATGAGGGCCCTCAAGATTGGGGTTCAACCTTTTTTTAAGAAATTTCAATTTTTCTAAATGCAGCAAAAAAATTCATTTAACCCATGATCACATCATTTGATTTTGATTTAACTGAAGACTGAATCGTGTTTTGAATTTTATTGATACGTGTTCAAAATTAATTATTATTATTATCATTATTATTTCTTAATGTTTGATTTTCAAAACATTGACTTTGAAATGTGGAGCATATGTAGTGTGAACGTTTGTGGAGCACACATTGGACAAGTAATAAACCTAGGAGGCTATGAAATTCCGTCCGTTTATGTTTACATCTAAAGAGTGTTATATGAAGCGTACTCATGATGACACGATATTTGAATCTTATATTAGACGTTTGTGTATCCATTGACGGTGCAAAATTTTTTCTCATTTAATAATTTTATTGCCTTACATATTAATTTATTTGCAAGTGATGTGATTCATAACTATGTTCATGGTGTAAAGTAGATAGATGATTATAATGTCTTTTGAACATGTGGATGTTATAAGAATTCGTCAGTCGATGTTTATATCTAAGGAAAGTTCCAAGAAAAGTTATGATCAACATTAGAATCCTACATTAGACGTTTGTGTGGTCAATAAATGTATGGTGCACATTTGTTTGTTTGGTGAACCAAACACTCAAAATCTAGTATGAAATGATATCAGAAAATTGCAACTAAAATTGTCATTTTGCATTGTATTGTAGAGGAAAATTGTTGAGTTTAGAGATGTAAACAATTTAAATAGTTTGAGGTTTACATCAAAAATCAACTTGAAAAAAGAAAAAAGAAAAAAGCGATTTTGGACCTTGTTAGAAATTTAATTAAGTAGAAAATATAGAATATCAGTCTAATTGTATGAGATTTAACTTTTGTAAAAGTCCATTAAAAGTCAATTTAGAAACAATGACAATTGAATATTAATCAATGTTTAAAAAAAATACACACACACGCACACAAAAAAACAAAACAAAAAAAACAAAAAAAAAAAAACAAAACAAAAATGACCTTCTAGTGAGTTAGATTCCTATGTATTCAAATCATGTTGATTATTTGAGCTATACACATCTCAAGGAAATAAAGGGAGTAGAATTTTCATAATTCTTACATATTGTAATAGAGTTGGTCAAATTTATTTTGCTCCATCCCTTATTATTTTTGTTCGAAAAGTGTATTTCAAAAATAGGTTAACATATTATATCCATATGCTCTCCACCCTGGCTCCTGAGAGACACATCCTGCGATTTACCTCCTCCACGATGGCTCAGGGCAGGGTCGGTGGGGCCCTTAAGGTTGGAGTTCAACCTTTTTTTTTTTTAAACATGACCATTCTTTTGGAGGGAAGTGTCGCCAGAAATGTATTGTCGTTTTCTTCCACTTGACTTGAAAGAAGGGATTTTCCTTTTTCATTTACTGATCAAATCACTTGATTAATAGTAACAGACTTTATTAACTGACTTCACTTTTGAGCATACCCGCCTTTCCCATTGAAAACACCGCACATAGGATCCGTACACATGGTATAGATCTGAGCATTGGATGAAAGTTTAGGGCTTGTATCATTTAAAATGATTTCCCTCCCTCTCAAATAGCACAGAAACAACTTTATTTTCTCTCTTTTATTGTTCTCGTCTCTTTTTTGGTTTACATCTCTTTAAATTTTCTTAGTGAAAATTAGATGGATTCTTGGTGAATCCATGAAAGCCAAAGGAGATTGGGTTTTGTTTCTTGTTTAGTGAATGGTACCTAGTAGATGGGAGTGAGCTTGAGTGGTACAGTGGTTATCTTGGTGATTTCCTTTATGAACCCTCTTCGTGCAAGAAAATTGGTTTGATTTCTTAGGGGTTGTTTGGACCCGATTTTTTCACCTAAAAAATTGATTTTTTGACCGTTATTTTATTATTCCAACCGTCATATTTGACTTCTTCTCTCACAGGTGGACCCCACTTTTCTCCTAAAGGTCAAAAAATTAATTTTCAAAATTACTCTCAAACATGTTCTTAAGTGTTTAGAACTATAATCCATGCCAAGTGGATCATCATGAACCTCTAGGGCTTCGACGAGCTATTGTGTTCTTTAGTTTCTTACATATTGTGGATGCGATCGTGGGTTTAAACTTATAATTGGGGTTGTTCAATTTGTCCATAGCATTATATGAATGGATAGATAGTCCCCCTGATTGCATTTAGGATTCTTGCTACTGATATGAAATAAAATGAGTTTATTTTATCTTTTATGTTTGGCCCCCGTTTTTTTAAAAACTCATTTTTTTTCAAAATTCATTTTTAATCACATATTCTCATATAAAATACTTTTACATGTATATCCAAAACTTTTCCCTATTTTTTAACCACACATTCTCGAATAAAAACACTATTCTACAATGCATACGGCTCGAACATGGGCTAAGCCAAAAGGTAATATTTATTACTTATTAGTTTGATTATCCCAAAAAGGTACCACGAGGCTATTGGTTGTTAAGACCTTTCAAATTCTCACTCCAATCCCAATTTCAATCATTATTATATTGAGAGAAATAAATGGTCATTAATGAAATAATTTGAGCTTTGTGCTACTTCAAACGTTGATGCATATGCGGAAATGTTAAATAATTTCCCTTCATTCGTTCTGACATGTCTAATATTTTTGAAAAGTTGATTTAATTAACTCATTAAAGAAACACAAGGATTAGTACGATTGTAGGCCTATGCCGTGTGATGAAATTGTAAGATAAGTGTAACTTCTAAGTGCCCAAGTCAACGAGAATATTTCACACTTCATTCATAAAATTGTATAGCAATACACACACACACACAATCTTTGGAATATATTTCTAGTAGGAATGCTATTTCTGTGGCTAATTTCTGTTGATTACACGTGAAGGCAGCAACCTTGATTTTGGCATAGGAGTCCAACTTTGATTTGTGCAACTTGCTTTGTTTATTGGTGCTTGATACGCCCCCCTCCTGCTGGAGCTACCATCGACAAGACTAATCTTGTTTCATCGACAAGACTAATCTTGTTTCAAAGAAGTTTCGTACGTTGTCGTGATAACGGTTTGGTTAGAAGATCTGCCAGCTGATTTTGGGTGTTGACATGACAAATATGGATTGTGCCTCGTTGAACCATGTCCTGAATAAAGTGTGACTCAATTTGGATGTGCTTCATTCACAAATGCAGTATCGAAATAAAGCTTACATGTGTTGGACCAAGATTTTCACATAATAATGTAGGCAGATTGTTGAGTAAAAATCCTAACTCGTTGAGTAGGGCAAGCAACCACATTGTTTAAGAGGTAGCATTAGTGTTAAGAAATGGGCTGCCTCATATTCTTGGGCCATAAGTTTGGGCCTATGTTCTTAGTGTGAAAAAGGATTGAACCCGGATGAAGAAAGCGTTATTTCCTAAAACACGCCTCTTCCTTTTAATTGCAGCTCGATCGTGGCTGTACACTTGGCAACCTCCTGACTGTTGATTTGTGGCTGTTTGACTGAACGTTTAAAGTGTTGTTTGGCCACACACTTGCACAACGATTTGAACTCTATGTGTTAGGATTTTTCTCTCCTTCCTCTCTCTAATCACATCGCATATTCTTTGTAATTTTTTGACCTATAAATCTGAATGATTCTGAGATTCTACATTTGATGTATATTGTGAGAAAGGTTCTTAGTGATTTGGTGTGATTTTGTAATGTGAGTTGAGGCGATAGGAATATCGAAGAAATCTCTGATTTCTTCGTACATACTGTAATTTTCTTGGTGATTTCTTAGTGGATCTAGAGCTCTATCTACTTGTGGATGCTCAACGGGTGAGTAGGTTTGATATCGAACATCCGAGCCCTTTTGTGGCAAAAAATTCTTCGTGGTCTTGCTTTACATTTCTGTGATTTTCATTCTGTTGTTTCTTAAAATAAAGTGTTAAATGAGATTCTGATACCAACAAGTGGTATCAGAGCCCTCTTCTTTTAATTTACTGTATTAGGGTTTGTGTTTTTTAAACAAAGCGCTTGTATTTGTTTTTTGAAAATGCAGATCTGATAGTGAAAGGGTTCTTTGGAAAAAGAAAATTAGTTTTTCTTGAAAGTTCTTCACTGATTAATCTTCGATCTAACTTTCTGATTGGATCTCTGTCAAGTACTGAAATACCTTTGTGTAGATCTGTGATATCTACAGTAAATAGTCGATAT